TGAAAATATCAAAATAACGATAGCCATGTCGAGAGACGACAGGGGAAGGACCCCAGAGATCTGTGTGAACGACGTGAAAAGGCTCAAAAATAACGGTGGAACTGGGAGGAAAGGAGGAACTAACAGTTTTAGCCTCAACACAGCTTGTACAAAAATGTTTTGATGAAGAATCAAAATCCATTTTACGAAGCAGAGACTGTCTAAACATCATTACAAGACGATCTGAGTGAGGATGTCCCAAACGTGAATTCCAAAGACTCCAATTATTTTCTGACTGACTCAAAAAACTCGAAGGTAGAGAAGGACTAGACGAAATAGTTTGACACGGACTACTGACAACCCTAATGTGACTACTGACGGCCGATGATGATGCTAAATTATCTTGAAGCTCTTCCAGATGAAAAATCCGACCCCGTTTACTCCCCCTTCTGATCTGCCTCCCCGTCTTCAGGTCCTGAACAAAACATCCAGTGGGTGCGAACAAAACAGAACACCCTTCCTCAGTAAGCTGACCGACTGAAACCAAATTAGGTACTAGCTTAGGAACATGTAAAGTTTTAGGCAAATCAACTATATTTCCTTTTACTGTTCCTATGCCATGAACTTGCAATTGTTCACCATTCGCCACGCGCAACGCCATATGCTTTAATGGAATAACATTTTTAAGCTCGTCTAAGTCATATGTTATATGATTAAAGCACGCAGAGTCGAGAAGCCAGGGAGAGTTTTTACCTGAAGTCTGCATTATAGCAAAGGCAGCAATAATGGCGGATGGGAGGGACTTCTGAAGGGCTTGATTCACCAATTGTTCAATAGTTGCTGCCGAAACCCCTGAGTTACTGCCAGCTTCAGCTTGCGCGACAGCATATGCCTGACGTGAAGGACGATCAAACCTATCTCCAGCAGCGGATGACCTCTCTCCGAAAGCTGACGAAGAACCTCCTGGACCAGAAGCGCGGGCTTCATTCCTTTGATGAGTTCGGCAATCTAATATAATGTGGCCTAGCCGTTTACAGTACACGCAATAATTGCGTCGGCGACAATGTTTGACAACATGTCCTTTCTCTCGGCAGTGGTGGCAAACTACCTCTAAAGAAGGGAGACGCTGCTGAAACTGTGGCCTATTAATTTCATAGGCGGGCTGTTGATTAATTGCATAGGTGGACTGATCTTGTCCAATAGCCGCAGCGATCACCGCCTCCCCTTCACCCGGCCGAATGTCCAATTGAGCTTGAGTCCGAAGTCGAATTTCCTCCCGGACAAGATGACTAAGGATCCCATCAAATCTAAGCTCCTCCTTGTGTAACAGCATTGCTCGCACAGACTTGAATTCGGGTCTGAGTCGCATCAGGAAGTTAAGTAGGCGAGTACTCCGTCACTCGGTCAAGGCAGCTTCAGAGGTGTCTCGGATTGTAGCGCAGCAGTCAATAAATCTGGTTATGTCCACAGCTCTTGAGCAAGATTAAAGTATTCGGTAATGGTGTGATCGCCTTGTTCCAATCTTGCCAAAGCCATTTGTATTTTAAATTGTCTAGCAGTACTGACCGTAGAATAAGTGGCGGCTAGATGTTTCCACATCTGATTTGCAGTAGAAAATAGACGAAGGCTCAAGCAGGTCGATGGATCCACACATCCGAGCAGCCATGACCTTACCCGGGCATCATTCTGATTCCAGGTCAATAACTCATGGAGAGAAGCCGTCGGTGAAGGCTTCACGGCAGTTCCATCAAGCACACTAAGAAGACCACGCCCTTCCACAAAAACGCGGAACTGAAACTCCCACAGAGCGTAGTTGGTGGAGGTAAGACGAATCAAGGGTTTTTCTGATTCCATTGATTGAAGCTCTGATACCATGTAGGTTAATCACAGACTAAGCGAAGGAAAGAAATGACAGAGACACGACTGATTTACGTGGTATCCCTGGAATGCCAGGACTAATCCACGGAAGAGTTAGGACTCTTCAAGCTACTGATGATCTCGTACTGTTCTGTTACATCCATCAGACTCACCACACTTCTACATATATCTAACTACTGCTAACACCCAAAAAACCCTAATTGGCCGAGCCCTAGGAGAATACTACGCAACTCCTTTTCTCCTTGCATGGGCTGCATGGACCTAGAGTCTAATGGCCCAATCACATGACATGAAATATATCGACAGCCCAATGACAGCAAACAACTCACTACTGCTACGTACAGACTATATACATGGAGTGCAAAATATGAATGTAACCCACTAACAACTTTATCGATTTCGGCGATTTCTCGATCCGTAGCAGCGCGTTTATAACAATAGCTTATTTCGAAACATCCACAGTCAGTATGTAACAGTTTGATTGCAACTAATTAAGCAGATTTGAAGGGTATATCAGTATAGCTTGGTCTTGGTGTGAGTGACAACCAAGTCGAAACAGAGGATAAATTAAATTAAATTAAAAGCTTTGCTTTGCACTGGGACTGGGTGACGAATCGAGTTAGGGGATGAAGAAGTGAAGAACGGAACAAGGATCGTCGTCCGTCGCCTTCTGCTTTGTCAAAGCCGGGTCTAGTTTTCTAATTGGGCTTAGGCTGCTGGTATATGTATCAAGCAGATGACGGGCCAATAATTAGTTAGGCCCAACTAAATAGAATAGTGAAACAACGGGGCTTTTTCATGGCCCACCGAGTAAAAGAAAGGATTTCTAAAACAAAAACCCAAATTCCAAGTCTATCCATCTATCCGTGACAAATTGTTATGAATACACGGATACAATTACATATAGGAGTATCTTGGTTTGAATGAACCAAATTCATGAGTACTATGGTCCAATAATGAAGGATATTTTAGGATTAAGGATTGGACCAACATTGTATTTGGTCTGTTTTGGGTTGGTTTGCTTCGCTCCAAATGCCACTTTGCTCCATTTTTATTCGGTATTTATAAAATTTATGAGATCATCGATCAGACCACGTTATATTTGGTTCGTTATAGTTTGGTATGATAAGGTCTTGTACGGACCAATCCGTTGCACACCCCTAATAACAATGAATGTGTGACACTCACAAATTGATATGAAAATACAAAGGCAATTCAATTACTGATGTAGGATTTAAAAGGATTGGATCATATTCCAATTTCATGGTAATTGAAATATCCATATATATAAAGAAAAACCTTGTTGATGTGACTTGAATCGGACTATCAGCCGCTACGACTGGTAATCGGGGGTCTCGCTGTATGGGCTCAATGTTATTTGGGTTCGGGTTATGGGTCTGTTCTGTAACTGTTTCCTTTGCCAGATTGGATTAGTTTAGACCCACGTGGAGAAGTACTATAAATACTTCTCATACTCCTCTGTAATCTGTAATCTCCTCGATATAGTGAAACTGGCTCTCTCTCGCCCGTGGACGTAGCTAACACACATCGTGTGTCTGTGTTTTTCGTTTCTCGCTTTCGTATTCTTGCTTTATCGATTCCGATAATTTCCCGATCCGTAGCCGTGCGTTTATAACAAACCTTTTTGTGGTGAAATAGCTATAAATACTACCCCGACTAGACTAGCTACTGGTGGTTTACATGCATGAAGCTAGGATTCAGTAAACCCACATGGAAGATGTAAATGGGCGGAACTAAATGCTAAACAGTAAAGCCAGCCAGTGATGGAAAAAGGGACAAATTAAATAAAGCAAGAAATGTAACGAAGAGATGAAAGCAGAGGGTGGAGAGGAAAAAGGCAAGGCAGTAGTAGAAGTGGGGCGAGGGGCAGTTCGGATTTAGAATAAGTATGAAAGGCACCAGACCAGACCAGACACTATTGGAATTGGAGAAGAAGACGATACAGCAACCCAGCAGCCAGCAATAAAGAAAGAAAAAAAAAACAAATTAAATGGCGATTTCAATATGTATGTATAATATCAATATATGTACTAGCTGCAATCGCAAGTAAGTAAATGACAAAGGCGGGGACAATTAATTCATACACAGAGCCGGGGAAGAAGATAGATAGAGATAGACCCACTTCATCTCTCTCTCTCTCTCTCTCTCTCTCTCTGGATTGGTTTCTGCTGCTCTGTCTGTGGCCTGGCTTGGCGCTGCTGCTGCTGCTGCTGCTGCTGTATGGTGATGAGAGGCTTATGATAAGCCTCTCTCTCTCTCTCTCCATCGTCAGGTCGTTTTTACGTCCCAACTCCCCATGCATGTCCCCCCAAGCTCCCCTCCCAGAATTCCACGCCTAGCTTCTCTTCTTTCCTTCCTCTTTTTTCAAAATCGCTGTGTTTTCATTCCATGCTTACTACACTGTACTGTCTCCTCCTTATTATATCTCTCTCTCTACCTCTTGCCTTTCCCGGGCCTGTCCCTCTTCTGCCTGCAAACACACACACACACACCATATAGCTTAGCAGTTATAGTTGCTGCTGCTGCTCATTAAACAGTCTCCCCAAAACCCTATTCCCGTCGTATTAAGCTACTATAACTAGCATATAGTAAGTCAACTTCCCTTCATTCCCCCCAACCTTCTCTTCATAATCCCCCCACTATTCACTCCATATTTTGCATGTCTTTCCCTTCTGCTCTCATTCCATATCAGTTGATCACCCGGCCTCCATTTTCACTCATCCAACCCCATTAATTATCATACTATACTACCAAAACACAGTTAATGATCCATCTCCTTGTCTGTGACTCACCACTGATGTCAATAGACTTGGCAATGTATATATGTAGCTAGAGAGAGAGAGAGAGAGAGAGAGAGCCTGTGATGATCAGCTGCTTTAATTTATGGGCCTATACTCCTCTCTGCTCTGCTCTTATATGGAGAAGGCAAGGTGGACAGACCAGAGCAGAACCAAAAGCATCCACCTTATCCCACTTATAGTACTCCTACCAGTACTACTTTCACCATCTAGCTAGCTAGCTTCTTTTCCTAATTTCTTCCCTTTTTCCCATTAATCTCATCCACAGGCTTCTTCTGCACCAGTACTATATATGTATCAACACAGCCTTACTTACTGTCCCTAAAGCTAACACACCTTTGTGTTTGTGGAAAGTGGTCATTACATCCTTCTTCTTCTTCTTCTTCATCATCATCATTCATACCGTCCATTTAATTCATCACTCATCCTTTTGCACAAACTCCCTCATTCCCCATATGCATGGTCTTCAACAAGCTATAGCCACCACCTACCCTAGCCTACCCTAGCCAGCAGCTTTGCACCCTTTTTCTCCTCCTCCGATCCAGTCCTCCCTCGCTCCCTGTCTGTTTCTCTGTTTTTTCTTTCGGTCACCCATTTTCACAAGCAGGTGGTGTGCAAGCCTTGTGAAAACAAGAAGATGTGGATGATGGGTTACAACGATGGTAGGAATCCTCATCACCATGATCATCAGTTCACCAATGGCAGCAGAAAGCTTCTGCCTTTCATCCCACCTACACTCCTCTCTTCCTCAAACACAACTGCTACGACGACCCAGCAGCCTCCATGGCCGACCCATCATCGTCTGCGTAAGAGATAACTCCTAACCATCTTCACTTGTTTGTTTCTTCCCTTTGTGGGGTAATTTTTTATTATTATCACGCGTTAACTTGGCTTGACGAATGCAGCACCGGCTCCAATGGCGGCAGAGCAGGGGAAAATAAGAGACCAAAACTACAACTCACCGAACCTCTACCAGCAGCAGGAAGCGGGGGCGGTTGTGAGCTCGTCGCGATGGAATCCGACGCCGGAGCAGCTCCGGACGCTGGAGGAGCTGTACAGGAGAGGGACGCGAACCCCTTCCGCCGACCAAATCCAGCACATCACATCGCAGCTCCGGCGGTACGGCAAGATCGAGGGCAAGAACGTCTTCTACTGGTTTCAGAACCACAAGGCCCGCGAGCGCCAGAAGCGCCGCCGCCACCTCGACTCCAACAATAACAACGCCGCCGCCGTTGAAATGCTTGATCCCAAAGAATCAGGTTGAATTACTATCTCTGCTAGCTTCTTTTATTTTATTTTATTTTATTTGTAATTTGCTTCAACTTTTATTTTAACTTACTAATAAATTGTATTGTAATTATTTTGGTGGTGGTGTCAGTAGGGGCTGCAATGAATGGGAGATCATGCTGCTATGAAGGAGGAGGAGAGCAAAACAACAACAAAAACTGGGCAGCAGGAAGCTCCTCCATCAACAACTGCACTTCTTCACAGGTCAGTACTCTCTCTCTGCTCTCTGCTCTCTGCTCTCTCTCTCTCTACACTATTGTTATTTTGTGGGGGTGGGGAGGGTAGAATTCCTATTGTATGCTGCTGTGCTATCTCTGTTGGAAACAGAGATGAGAGATAGAATGTGTAAATAATTGTGTCATCATTACTTAGTTGTTGTTGATGATGGTAATGATGAGATCTTATAGATAATGGGTCTTTTGGGATTAAGACAAAAATGGGGTTTAGTTTAATAATATAAGCAAAAGTGGTACGGGACAACGTAGGGCTGTGTAACGATTTGGACCATATCGGATAGCACCGTATCATTTCATATCGAATATAAATATTGAAGAATGAAATTAATTGTCATTTAGGCCAGATCAAATATAATGTTGGTTTAATCTTTAATTTTTTAATGTCTTTTACTATTAGATTGAGATTCTAAGAATTTGGCTCGATCCGGATCAGACCATTTCATACCTCTAGGAGACAAGCAGGGTTTGGGGAAGATTATAATCATTAGCATCATAACAAACCATAATGAGTACAAAGTTGAAAGATAACAACACAAGGAAGGGAACAATGAGGAAGGAAGGAAAAAAAGAATCATAGGGTGATGAGTGATGACCACACACACACTCAAACACAAGTAATAATAAAAGGTAGTCTAGTTTGTCTTGTTGGGAAATGCAGAGAAAACAAAAAACAAAGGAGTTAAAAGCTGGGTTCCATCCTTTCTGTCGGGGCTGCTGTTTGTGTTGTTACTGTTGTTGTTTGGGTTGGGATCCGCATGGCCCTCTGCCGTGGCTGGCTGGGGGGATACCCTAGCTAGCTTTTCTTTTAGGTCTTTGTGCATGCTTGCCATGGCTACCCTCCTTTAATTAACCTTCATTACTCTCTCAAGTTACAGTAACAGCATATATAGCAGTAAATAGTGAGACAGTATATGAACTTAATTGTGACTTCAATGCAAAGCTTTTAGGTGGTTGGGGTTTAATGGAGATTAGACTAGTGATGATAAGGGTACATGGAAAGAAAGAAAAAAAGTAGGAAACAAAGAGGAAAAGGAAAAGGCGAGGGAAGTTTGGGCGTGCCCTAAAAATGAACTTGTTGGCACTTGGCACCCAACAGCTACCCACTTTCTTTCTTTACCTTTCATTCCACACTTGTTTTTATCTGCATGGGGAGAGTCAACAATGCTCCTTCTCCTTTTTTTAACATTTGAAAGCACAAATGAAGAAAATGACAGAACAATGGAAATTGCAGGAGGCAATCCCAATGGTATCTTCATCAAGTGGAGGAAGAGATGGATGGAACCAATTCGAGGGAGGAGGAGAGGAATTAGAACCAGCAGCAGCAGCAGCAAGAAGGAACTTTATCATCATGGAAAGGAATGCCACGTGGCAGCAGATGTCCTGTCCACCTCCCACCACCCATTTCATAATCAACCCCACCACTTCTACTGCTGCTGCTAAAGCTACAACAACTGCTACTGCTTCCCCTGCAACTCCCAACACAAACATTATAATTCCATCATCATCATCCTCCACACCCACACTAACAGTAGCGGTAGTGCCATCATCAGCTGCTGTTACTACTACAGCAGCAGCTAGAACAGCAACTCATGAACCAGCATTAATAATGGACCCAAAACAGCAGCAGCAGCAGCTCATAGTCAAGGCAGTCCATGGTGGTCAGCATCAAGATCTCAACATCTTTCATTCCCAATATGGCCTTCTGCTCAACTCTAATTACTCCCTCACCACCAACAGCAGTGGCAGGGGTACAGAGGGAAACAATAATCATGGAGTCATTATCAATTACAAGGAAGATGGTAATTGTGATGATGGTAATGGAGATCATAATGATGAGACACACAGAAGTGCAACCCTTGACCTCTTCCCCCTTGGCAGCAGAAATGTGGCTGATAATAATAATAATGGAAATGGCTACCACAGTTGCAACCAGAGGGAGTCTACTTATCCAGCAAGAAGCATGATGGATCCCAACTTCATGGCCACTGCTAACCACCCTACTAGCAATAACCATTGTTTCCAATTCTTTGAGTTCCTCCCACTCAAGAACTGATCGATGTTCCAATATAATATCTTATAAGCTGAAAGACAAGTTAGCTAGTAGCTAAAGTTAGTTCCTTTTTTTCTTTATGGGGGAGGTGGGTATTAATCAGGAAGATTTTCCCCTTTGGTTTTTCATCTCTCTTTTTGTAATCTTGTTGGAGATTGGGGACCTATATTAATATAGCTAGTGGTGGGGAAGGTTATGTAGCTGATCATCTCTTTTTTGGGATAGTGTTCCGTTTGATGTAACATTTCATGGGAACTACCCTGGTGAGGGAGAGGCTAGTAGCTTGAATGGTCCTTCAAATAGGATATTCAAGGATCCCTCCCTCTCTCTCTCTTTCAAAGGGGTTTCCTTGGTTCCTTACCTTTCTTTCAGTTTTTAGTTCGAAAATGCAATGTTTGGACCATGTTGGTTGAATCAAAGAATGACCCATCTCTATAAACTTAACATGCCAAATAAGAGAAGATGGTGCTGCACCAGAGTGCAGTAATAATGCTGCTGCTGCAGAAGATGATGGAAGTGTGCATGTGTGAGGTGTAAGTAATGGCTAGCTAGTAGTGATGAAAATGAAAGAGAGGGCAGGCTAGCTAGGGAATGAATGTCTGTGGGAAGGTGGTGGTGCCTCTCAATGCTAAGGTTGTAATGACGATTGGTTCCCTAAAACAGGATGGGATGTTGAAAGTTTGGAGGTTGGAAATTATGGAAGGATCTAAACTGGGCAACTCAGAAAGTGAAAGAGGAGGTGGAGAGGGCAGAGTAGTGGTGGAGTAACCAGTGGGTTTTTGTTTATAAATGCTTTGATGTTGAAGTTGATGGATTAGACTGTGTGGGAAAGAAATTTTGGGTAAGAGGGTAGTTTTGTTCTCTTGCTGCAAATTTGGAACCTTGACATGTATATACATGGTGGGTTTTGTTGGGCTTGTGGGTTTAGGGTTTTACATTCAATTCTTCAGTTGGTTGGTTGGTTGGGTTATTGCAGAGGAAAATGAAGTTAGAGTAATATGGGACTGTGATAGCAACAAATTTGTAATTTATTCCTGCACTAGTATGTGTGGGTTTTGGGTAGCTGCTTCAAAGTGATATCTGAACATCCAGTTGAAGGAATTAATGTTGACTCTAGAAATTGATGTATCATATAATTTATATTCATCCAAAATAAAAAAATATGTATATATGGATTAGTGTTATGATCAGTTTGTGTTTTACAGTTAGGTGGTACTTAATGAAATTGAATCTAAGACTTAGATGACAGATTTAAGATGACTTGATATATAACTGGATCAAACATTTGTTCGTAAGCCAAAATTAAATTGTTAATTGTCTAAAAAAGGTAGCAAACTAGTTAACTCGTGATTTGATAGCATTTTCGTATGTAGAATTAAATTTAAACTTCTTCTGAATAAGCCACAACAAGTGAAATTTAGTAACATTTTTTTTACGAGGGATCAACCATCAAAATAATTCGAAATATAATTTTGTATTAAGTTGGAAAGAACAGTATAAGGTAGTCATGATCATGCAAGTAAGGGTTCTCGTACACGATTATGAATTATCGCCATTCAGTAAGTTTTAGTTAGGTTGACGATAAATGATTACATAATCATTATAGGTTCGAATAAGTGATAACGTAAATCGTTTAGTTCGAATATTGTGTGTGCATAGGATGTTATTATCTCACGATATCATTAACTTACTCTAATGATGGCAACAATCACATAGATTTTTTTACTTGGATGGTATAAAATAATTAGGAACATTTTTTATCAAAAAATAAATAATAATTAGAAACCTCACCATGACCTACATACCAACTCATTGAGGTTACTATAGAAGACAAATTAAATGTAAAAACCTTATCTCCATATAGTATCATTTGTTTTAGAGATCCAAGGTATTTACAAAAAGGCTAATGCATCAGTAGAGAGATTCAATGCATCACATTTACCGAAAACCTTTTTTCTGAACCAGTAATTTCCCTAAACCCTAAAAAGGGTACACAGTAAAAATTCTGAAGTTTGGGTAAAAGCTTCACATGTTATAATTAAATCCATTACCACGTATCTATAAGCTGAAATATATGATATTCTAACTTTTTCGAAATTGCAGAGAGTTTTATATGCAACTTCCTTATACTTTCTCATTTAATAAAGTTTCCATTTTTCTTTTCCTAAATGCACGCCATAAAAAAAAAAAACTGCACGCTATAAAAGGTAAGAAAAATGAAAATAATTAAAGCCCATGCATCTTCTTTCCTTTTTTGGTCAAATAAACCTATGTTTATCCTTCTAATTGAGGCTTAAAAACTTGAATGGTTAATGTAATATGTATGGGCATATACTGTGTTGTTACTCATTAAAGTGAGAGAAAGACTCTATTGAAAGGTTTAAAATTTGCACTAGACCACAATGTTCAATGTATTGTACTTTCGGATTATGTGGTGATTGTTAATGTTTTATCTTTTTGCCCCTCCTTATTGGTGTTTGAACCTAGAATGTATCCTAGGCCAATACAGTAATGCTTGAGGCTCTGATATGAACTCTCATGCAATTAGAAGAAATCTCAAATACTTACAATGCAGAACGTCAGAACTTATTGGGTTGCCCCATTTCGGGAACACAACCCTCGCTCCCTCAAAATTGAATCATAGGTTTTGATAGTATTCCATATATAATTGCTTGAATGTACATACTCGACTTATAGATGGTGGAATGAAAAATGTGACAAAAAGAAAGAGAAAAACTCAATCATGGCAATGACATGATGAGCTGCTGATAGGACGAAAGTAGCTATATATATGCAATGGGATGCCATGTCTATAGCTAGCAATAATTGAAGGGCCATGAATGATTATGCAAGTGCATGGTGTTGCCCACGCAAAATCTTGCAAGCAACACCAAAGCAAAGTTTTCAGCACAGCCAAAATAAAGATTTGGTCTTCCCAACTAATTTGTCTCACTAGGAAGGACATACAAAATCAATATTGTTATATATATATGGTGGCTTCTATGGTACTCCAGGTGAAATTCGGGGTATCGTATACCTCGAGTATGGAAACTCTATCTAGACCTTGAATTACCAGGATTTTTGTGTATGATATTATACCCTAACCCTTAATGAGTGAACCCTAGGTCATAATTATCTAAATCATAATCTATAAACCCTAAGATGGTGCATTCCTTTTTGTGCCTATATTTGGATGAATCATAACCGTCGATTATTATTTCTAATTAAATTGATCTTGGAGTATAATATTGGGAGAGTTAACACCTAGATTTTGATCTTTAAGTGTTAGAGTATAGTATCATGTCCGAAAGATCGGTCAATTCAAGGTCTAGATAGTGTTTTCATACTCAAGGTATGCAGTACCCCGGATTTCACCCATGGTACCGTAGAACTCGCTATATATATATATATATATATATATGGGTTAGACTGGTGTACGTCAGGCGTATAGTATACGCCAAGTGCCTCACACCGTTGATCTAATCTGACAGTCATTAGTAATGATGATTTATTTAATTATTAATTAGCAAATATAATTACTAACAACACCCATTAATATTTTATACGAGCATTATAGCTCCCAATTTTTTTCCAGTGAGTTCTGTATTTTGGTTCCCTACTTTCTTCGAACATCATTTTCAACACTCAAATACTATATATATTGTTTAGTGGCTAGACCGAAACTGGACCAGAGTGTTGTTTAATTTGGGTGTGGAACCTTCCCTCCAACTTGAGTTCCTAGGGTTCATTGAGTACGATTTGGGGATGATGTCCAGCCGATGAGGAGAATGTCTTCTTTAAGAATTAGCCGATTATGTACCGGATATTAGGAATTTCATCTCAGAGTATCCCAGATGAGGGCTTTGATGGAACTCGTCGAATTGGAGGTTAGTTGTCATAGAGTTTGAATACGAGAGCCATTGAAACAGAGACAAGAAGCATGTATATTTCTTGAGGCTGCTAATCACGCTTCAGGAGCTAGCATATGTTTTCTGCCCAGTTGATCTCCAAAGGCTTCATGTAAGCACAAATAGAACTGCTTTGTCGATCGTCCCTTCTTTTCCTCTGTTCATCGACTAGAAGAATAGACAAGGAGGAGGGCGGAAATGGCGACAGTGAGGGCGGCGCCATAATCCCTGATTCAGCGGCCGCAGTTGATCACGCTTACCCAGCGTTGTTTCCTTGTGTGTTTCAAAGAGAAAGAAGCAGAGGGAAAACGCAATCTGCCGCTAGGAAGAGATTGAGGCAGCGAGAGAACGAAACGAAGAAGCCGCCAAGAGATAGATTTGGGCCAAGGGATTGAACGATGTCTTGCACGGAGGATGTGTGGGAGAAAGGCGAGAGAGAGATCCAGTGTTCGGGTAAAAGTAGAACTCAGGGGAGAGGAGGAGAGATATTCTTGGTTCTTATTTTGATGATTGAAAAATTGGCATTTTAGGAAGCAATCACCCAAATGGTCGATGGAGAATTAATTGGTAGTGGTATATAAGTTTGGGTGTTTGAAAGAATGAGTAAAAAAACAAGGTACTATAATATGAAAAGAAATGGTAAAATTTGTTCAAGGACTATATTCGTATGTCTATAATTTTAATGGGTGTCATTAGTAATTATAATTTCAAATAATTAATTTTTTTATCAATGTAAATAACGATCGTTAGATGAGATCAACGATGAGAAAATCTGGCGTATACTATACGCCTGACGTATACCAGTCGTCACCATATATATATATATGTTTTTTGGGTTTGATCTTTCTTACCCTTGGCTTTTTCTGATATGCAATGCATGGGAAGTGTAACAGGGTGGAGGGAGGCGGATGGAAAAGATTTGTGGTGCAGCAAAGCAGGGAGGGTATTGGAATGGAACATGGCCGGGGAAATTGACACAAACAGAAGAGGGGCCATTGGCCAACCAACCAAGCTAAGGCTCTTCCCCCATCCCGGCCATAGTTTCCTTACACAAACATCTGCACCACTTCAATAACAGCATATAATGTCAATGTAAATTTCTACCTCTGTGCTGATTCGATTTTGATTATCTTTCATGGTGCCTGCCACAATCCCCTTTTACCCTCTTTTTTTTCTCTGTCTGTCGTCTAACTTAGCTACTAGCTAGTAGCTAATAGCTTCTCCCCCTTTCTTTCTGATGCTATAGCCTATAGCTGCTCTGTCTGTGCATCGATGAGTAGCAGCAGCAGCCAGCCATATGCCCATATGTACGTTGTAGGGAGACTCGACTGTGTTGGTACAGACTTTGAATTAGATATGTATGTTGTAGAGTAGAGAGACTGTGTTGGTCTATTCTATTGCTTTTGGTGGTGATGTACTTTTGTGTGTTTCATGGATTCTTTCTTTCTTTCCATATGACCATTCCACCAGGAAAAAAATAAAAAATAAAGGAGAGAGAGAGAGGCAGCCTTGGAATTTGGGAAGGGATGCATCATGGAATGACATTACACTAGCTATGGCTAAACTACCATTGTTTCTCTTGCTTTATCAATGCACTCTCTGCTCTCTCTCTCTGCTCTCTCTCTTTGCACTCTGATATATCTATGTTTGTTTGATCTATATATAAATATATGTTTGTCTGTGGTTAGCAGAAACAGAGAAAGGGAAAAAGAGAGAGCTAATTGGCAGGCTGCAGCAAATTTCAAAGTGATGGGTGAGAGTGAAGTCAAAATGCATGACAATGGCTGCTTTCTGTGTTATAGCTATAGCAGGCATATATGGAAGCATCTTGTAGCTAGCTAACAGATTCTCTGTCCGCGGCCATGGTGATGGAGGGTCAAATACAAATAGTATAGAGCTAATAGCTAGCCCTGCTCCAGCAGTAGTTACTTACTTTACTTGCCCATATTTTCAAGTTCCAAGCCCACCAAAAAAGATAGAAACCCTATTAATTTAATTAACAGCAGAATGGATATAAGATAGACAATCCATATATTTATATGCAATTACTGAACCCTCTACCTCTAGGGTGGCTGGATTGTATTGTGAGTTTTTAATTTTATATATGTTTCCTCTAACTAAGCACATGTAATTTTCAGTAATATTCAAAATATACCTAATGAGATATTCAAGATATATTGAGTAGAATGTTGATGTGTTGGTATCAATGAAATTAACTGAAAGAAATGTACTGGAAATACAACTAGCTAGTTAATTAAGCAAACCCTAAACTAAACCTATCATATCATGAGTGAATTATCAGCTTATGATTAATTTAATGATGATGTGTTTCCAAAGAGAATGTGAGTGGGTTGACGATTTATGGTTGGGGAGGGGTTGTGGGGTCTGGCATGGCAGGGCAGCATATGCAATAGAGATGTGACATGTGACTGATCTTGTGTAGTAAGTTTTTTTTTTTTGTCTTTTATTTATATCTTTCGTACATTTATTAAATAATTACTGATAGAGTGATGTGGTATTTGGCAATTATTAACCGTATTGATTTATATATATATCTACCCAAACATATAAGGAGGTTCTCTGGCAGAACGGAATGGGTTAGGGTGATTACTTGTTTTTTAGTAATCACGGTGGCAACCTCTTTATATACCATTTGATTAATTATTTTCCCTTCTTTTTTAATCTTACGGTCAAGATTCTTTTAGGGTAATTTTGGAAATTATAAAGTGACAACACCTGATTATTCTATATAATCTACCTAAAACCTAGTTCTATCCTCTCTCCAGGCAAACCCGTCGCAGCCGCCTCCACGTACCACTCCCGTCGCACTGCCGCCAGCAGCCCCGACCACCCTCGGCCACCGCCGGCAGCAGCCCCCGACCACCCTCGGTACCCCTCTCTCTCTCTCTCTCTCTCTCTCTCTCTCTCTCTCTCTCTCTCTCTCTCTCTCTCTCTCTCTATCTCTCTCTATCTCTCTCTCTCTCTCTCTCTCTCTCTCTACCATCACAACATACATACCAAATAGACATATTGGTAGTATTCGTTTATGGATTCAATGTGCAGTGATATAGATTGTTTATATTGGTAGTTTTCGTGTAATGGTATAGATTTATATCTGCAATGGTATTGATTGTTTATATTGGTAGTTTTCGTGTAATGGTATAGATTTATTTCTACAATGATATTGATTGTTTATGGTATAGATTCTTTATATTGGTAGTTTTCGTGTAATGGTATAAATTTATTTCTGCAATGGTAGTTTTCGTGTAATGGTATAGATTTATTTTTGCAATGGTATTGATGATTTTCAAAGTGGTAGTGTTTGTCTAATGGATTGGTACTGATTTTTTTTTTATTTTTATTTTTTTTTGCAGAAAGATTGAGAAAAATATGGAAAGAAAATCTGGCTGGAGATTACGGAAGTGAGAGAAAGAGAGAATTTTAATTAATAGATTTTTGTAACTACCTTAAATGTAATTTATTAAAAAATTAATTAATATAATTTATTTTTCCATACCCAATTTATCCTTAATAACCACGGTGATTACTACTTTGTAGTAGTAATCACCGTAACCTGTCCCCTGGCAGAACCCCTCCCGTTCTGTTTTTCCTGTGTTGTGCGCAATGTACGGAAGGATCCTTCCGTCCTTTTACTAAACTTCCTCCGGAACCATCCCATCCCACTTATGTTACTCAATTAAATAAAGACAACCTATTACTCTATGTATTTCCAGTAATCTATTATAGTTAGAAGTTGGTTTATATGAATTTAAGAATACTTAATTGACGCAGTATGACAAATCATTGTAAATGGATATAGTCGATGGTTTTATACGCATTTGCATTTATTTAGGTTGTCTTATGGATATAAAATTATAAATTATTAGTTTACTTCCCAGTCATTTATGGGGTTTGGAAAGATAGATCACATTTTCGATCAATAATAAAAAAAGATAGCTAACATAGCCATTATAAAAAAAAATAGCTAATATAATTTTGGATTTTGCTACGGTGACTTGCAAGTCACCTAATCCTAACTGAAGTCGACCCAAAAGTGCAAGTTACGATGACTTGCAAGGCATCATAGGCGCACCCCATAATTTTTTCTCTATGTTTCGTTTTTGGCCAGCGAAAAAATTATGATATTACACCACATGGGGGCTGGGTATGTATAGTTTTCTTTTACCATAACAACAACCTCTTTCCTTTTATTCTTTCACATGTTTTGGTTTACTTGATTCGGATAAACCCTAACTGGTATTGGTTTTTCTCTCGAAATTATGAAAGACAAATCACATTTTTTTATCAATAATAAAAAAAGATAGATCACGATTCTCATTTGTATGTTTAAAATTCCAAAACAATAGGTAACATAATTTTTTTCCTACTTTCGGCCAGCGAAAAAATTATAAGATTACACCACATGAGGGCTAGGTTTGTAATGTATAGTTTTCTGTTACCATAGCAACAATTGTATGTGGGCACCGGGTCGTGCCGCCCACTGGCTAACACGACACGGCACGAGCACAAGCACGAAATTAATGGGCCAACCCGACACAAGCACGGATAATTTATGGGTCGTGCCGGGCCTAAATTTTATGGGCACGGGCACGACATATAAGTGGGCCGTGTCGGGCCTAAAATTTTTGAGACTTTATTGAGTATAAGAACGGATATGGCACGAAAATAATATTTATTTGACAGAAAATAAATATAAAACGAATTATAGGTTCAAATATTACTGTTTGAGCCTAACTGGGTGTAGGAGTGAGTCTCGGGAAAATGGGTCAAGGAGAGTAAGCAATGAGGGAATAATCGTTGATGGAAAAACTGAGAAGATTACGAATAGAATTGAGAGAGAAATATCTTAGAGAGAGAATTCGATGATATTAGAGATAGAGTCAGAAAAATCCGATCCCCTCACCCACCGGAGTAAATGCCATATTTATAGGCTACATGGTGGTGGGTGAGTGGTTGGGTTACATGTGGGTGCAATGACATGACCATTACATGACCACTACATGATCACTGACATGTCAGGGATTTAAGCCATGCTTATACCTAGGACATGTCAGGGGCTTACCTATGACTGTGTTTAGGACCCTGATGTGACTACCCCTCGGGAAACGAGACGACGCTTTTTGCGGCTCATTGGTCTAGTCAACGCCTTGATCCTTCCTTTGGTCGCGCTCGAGATCTTTGCGCTAGTCTGCCTTCTTTGCGCTAGTCTTCCTTCACAGTGTCGCGCTCGAGGCCTTCTTCAGTCGCGTCGCGTCCTGCAGGGTTCAGCGGCATTTGGGGAAGTGTCGGTGCGTTCCTTTGGTGTGCTTAGGTCCGAGTCACATGCCCAACAATTGCCCCCCAACAGGGGGTGTTCTGTGAATACCACCTGTTTAGGCTTCCGCTTGATTGACTCGGGCCTGCACGATCTCCGCGCGGTTTTCGTGGGACTCTTCACTCGTTGTGCGCGTTATTTTGAGCTACGCGCTGATCTCCGCCCGCGCTTGTGTTGAGGGTGGGTCGCTCGAAGTTGGGCTTGGGGTTTTTTTCCTTCCTCGCGCGTATGCCCCCGTTGTGCGCGTTACTTGGAGTTACGCGCGACGCTGTTGCTTTCTCCTTCCTCGCGGATATGCCCCCCATTGTGGCGTTACGTTGAGGTTGGTGCGCGCTACTTTTAAGTTGGGCTTGTGGTGTTTTTTCTTCCTCGCGGGTGTGTCATGCCCCCCAGGCGGTGCGCGGCACTTGTGGCGTCATCGACTAGTGTCTATGATGGTAGGTGTCCACGTGTCCCTCCATGATTGGGCTATTCGGGCGGGGATTTCTTGAAATTCGAAAAAATTCGAAAAGATTTGGTAGGATCTGACGGTTACGGATCCCTATGTAGCTTTAACCCTTCGTTTTTCCTTGACCGACTATAAATATGGGTTTGCTGTAGGAGAGTGGGACTCATCTGTTTCCTTCGACTCTGCTTCCTGTTTCTTTCTTCATCCCTTCTCCGAGATTCCTCTCCTTCTTCTACAACCTCGATTCTCCTTTTGCTGTTGCTGAAACTCGAGTTATTATCATGGCTAGCATGAACATCAACGAGGCTGAGGCCGTACAAGGCGAAGAAGGTAATCTCTCCCCCTTTTCGCACACTTCTACTGATCGTTCGCTGGAATTGGACGGTTCCGGAGATGGGGACGGCGGTGGTGGCGAAGGGGTTCCGGCGACGCAGTCGTTCGACATCGAGTCGGAGGATGATCTCGCCGGTTCTCCCGACTTGGGTATGGTTGCTTCCGGGAGCGGGCAGGCAAGACAAGGAGCTCGTGGGGTCCTGATAATCCGGCGTGGCCGTGATGGGAGGCCAGTGGTTGCTGATGATGAAGTGCGCAAAGACTCTGGCGCACAATCAGAGCCGCACCATGTTGTGCGCGTATCAGAGGCCATGGCCCGACTAGGATTACGCGGTGTTGGCGCCGCGTATACTGTTGTAGAGTGGGCCGAGATGTGGGGCGATCAGCCGGCGCCGCACGACAATCTCAAGCGCGGGCCCGACCACGCCTCCATATACCATGTTGGTGACGTGGAGGAGATAGTCCGCGGACTAGGCTTGCCCCCCCCCCCCCATTGGGAGTACGCCGCTCCTTCTACGCGCAGCATGGTGGGTAATTGCCTCGCGGGGTGGTTTGGCCTGTATACAGAGTATTGGGTGATGGGGTTTAAGTTCCCCATCGACCCGCACTTATGCGCTTTGTACAGGCGTCTCAATTGCTCCGTTGGGCGGCTCTCCACGTCTGTGATCATGCACGCGAGTTGTCTCCGCCTCGCGTGCTAAAGGCTTAACATCGAGCCGACTTACGGCCTTTTCCGGAAGATTTATAAAATTAAGGAGCCCACAAGAAGAAGCGACTGCCTTTCCATCAAGCGTCGCGACAAGAGGCCCGACGGCTTCGTGTATGGATCGCCCAGGTTAAAGAAAACTTGGTTCGAGCGCTTTTTCTACGTCAAGCCCGTTCCTGGAGAGTGGGCGAGTGAGTTTGTAGAAGAGCCTACTGTCTGGAAGAAAGGCAGCACGCACGGGTATGAGTCTGATGCCGGCACCTATGACGGGCTGGACGATGAGTATGAGGCGTACATGCCTCATAGGATCAATTTATATGATGGGGGAGTGCGCGAGGCTTGTTTGCAGGAGCTGTTCGCCGATGGTTAGTTGTATTTCTTTTCTTTTGCATTCTTATCATATTAACCGCTTTCTTACGACTTATTGGCACAGGTGTTGACTTCTCCAGCCTGGTGAGCATGATGTCGGTTGACGACGTTGTGAAGGCGCCGCGTGCTGACAAGAAGAAGAAGAAGAAGGAGGGCGCGGTGCCGAGGGGCGGGAAGCGGAAGGAGATTGAGCAGCCAGTGGCGGTTGAAAAGCCCCGGAAGGAGGCTCGTGTTGTAGAACCAAGTGCGCGGGAGGCGCAGGCTGCGCAGGCTACACAAGAGGAACAACCGCTATCTGATGCGCGGCAGTTAACCCTGGCGCTTTCAGAGCCGGAGGCGGCGGTGAGTAGGCCTTCTCGGTCTGAGAGAGAGAAGGCTGGAAGCTTGTCGGGTGCCACCGTCCAGCAGAAGCTGCCTGAGATGGCAGGCTTTGGGGGGACTCCCGCGACCACCATTCCCGGCGCTGCTGCTGTCAACTACTTCCGCGACGTGCGGATTCACACCTCGGCGGTTTGCAATCTGGCGGCCGCAAATACCGCACTCCGGGCGCTTGGGCCTGTCCTAAGTGTTCCGCCGCGGGTGGAGAAGTCTGATCCCCTTCATGACTTGGCTCAGATCCACTTCGCGGTAAGATCGGGTTGAGTTCTATCGCGTCTCATCTCTCTCTTTTATTTTATGTACTGTTTTGCTAAGTCTTTTAGCGTTGTGGTTGTAGGGTTTGTCAGCGACCTTCCGGGCTCAGAAGGAGCGCGCAAGGATACAGGCTGACGAGGCTAAGATCGTCCAGCTGGAGGGGAAGGTCGTTGGGGCGAACAATCGTGCCGACGTGGCAACGAACAAAGCCAACGAGGCGATGGAGGAACTCGGCGTCCTGCAGAGCAAATTGGCCGCCGACGTGGAGGCGGCTAAAGAGCAGGTGCGGGTCGAGGAGCGCTCCGCCATCCGCGCTCAGCTGGAGGCCTCTTATGCTGAGAAGCTGAAGCAAGCTCGCGAAGAGCTTCAAAAGGAGAAGGACGACCTGGTCCGCCTTCACAGTATCGCGAAAGCGGAAGCTGTTCGCGCGGCCGAGGTTGCGGCCGTTTGTCAGTTCAAGTCTTCTCCCTCTTTCGGGAAGATTTTAGCAGACGCCATGACCAAGGCCGTGATCGCGGTCGGGAAGAAGGTTCGGCCTGGGATACTCGCGATGGTTCTACACGTCCAGATGTGGATTGGCGAGAAGCGGCCCTTGGAGTCTGACTCCGAGTCAGGGGATGAGGATGAAGAGGAGGAGCGCCTGGTTGGGGAGAACGCTGAGGGCGCAAGTAGGGATGCTGAGCAGGCTGATGATGACGAGGAAGAGGACGTTCAGTCCTTGTTGCGCCGCAAGCAGAGCAAAGAGGACTGAAGCGCTTGAGTGTTTTCGCGCTGACGTGTTTCCTTTTTTTTTATCAAGTGTAGTTGCGAATATTTGTTGCTCCCGCTTAATCGAATCCAAAGAGTCCTCGTTTATGGCGTTTATTTGTTTCTTCGGATCGAGTAGGCGCAAATAGTGCATGACTATTGCTAATTTTTGTTCTTGCGAAATGAGTGAGCGCAAATAGTGCTGGACTATTGCTGATTTTTGTTTTTGCGAACTGAGTGGGCGCGAATAGTGCTGGACTATTGCTAATTTTTTGTTCTTGCGAACTGAGTGAGCGCGAATAGTGCTGGACTATTGCTAATTTTTGTTCTTGCGAACTGAGTGGCGCGAATAGTGCTGGACTATTGCTATTTTTTTGTTCTTGCGAACTGAGTGAGCGCGAATAGTGCTGGACTATTGCTAATTTTTGTTCTTGCGAACTGAGTGAGCGCAAATAGTGCTGGACTATTGCTGATTTTTGTTTTTGCGAACTGAGTGGACGCGAATAGTGCTGGACTATTGCTAATTTTTTGTTCTTGCGAACTGAGTGAGCACGAATAGTGCTGGACTATTGCTAATTTTTGGTCTTGCGAACTGAGTGGGCCCGAATAGTGCTGCACTATTGCTAATTTTTTGTTCTTGCGAACTGAGTGGGCGCGAATAGTGCTGGACTATTGCTAATTTTTGTTCTTGCGAACTGACTCCTTTCCATTCCTTTGCGGCAAAGCGCGATAGCAAGAAAGATACATATTTAAGTTGCCTGGTGATATTTCCCTAAGTTTTGCGCGTTCCACGTTCTTTGTATCTTGTTGCCCCCCAACTCGCTGAGTTTGAAGGTGTTGGCACCGACCACTTCGCGGATTAGGTATGGACCCTCCCACACTGAGGCGAGCTTTCCATGCTTGGGGTCGGGGCGGAAGTTCCGTCGCAGTACTTGGTCGCCGAGGATCAACTTGTGTGGAACCAGCTTCGCGTTGTGGTACTTGGCTACCTGCTCTTTCAGTGCGGCCAGCTTGATTGCTGCCAACTCGCGCCTTTCCTGTGACAATTCCAGCTCCAGCAAACGCGCTTCATCGTTGGTTTCTTCGCTGTACTTCGTGATTCAATAGGTCGGGGCCGTTGTCTCTATGGGAATTACTGCATCGGTGCCATATGTAAGGGCGAAAGGAGTTTCGCCCGTTGCCACTTTGTATGTGGTGCGGTGCGCCCATAGGACTGTGTTGAGCTCGTCAGTCCAATTACCTTTGGCATCATTCAAGCGGGTGTGCAGGCCGTGCAGGATTGCTTTGTTGGCGGATTCCGCTTGGCCGTTGGCCTGGGGATAAGCTACCGATGCGAACCTTGCGATGGTTCCCACTTGGTCGCAGAAGTCTATCACTTCTGCGCAATCGAACTGCTTCCCATGATCAAAGATGAGCGCGTTCGGGACCCCGAAGCGCGACAAGATGTTGTTCTTTAGGAAGCGCGTCACCTGTTGTGTCGTTATCAAGGCTAGTGCTTCAGCTTCGATCCATTTGGTGAAGTAGTCTACGGCCACAATAATGTATTTGCGCTTCCTTTTTGCTGTTGGGAAGGGGCCCAAGAGATCCACTCCCCATTGCGCGAAAGGCCATGGACTCAGTTTGGCTTGGAGCTCGGTGGATGGGAGATGGTGCTGGCGCGCGTTGACTTGGCACTTGTGGCACTGGTCCGCGTATTTCTTCGTGTCCTTTTTTATTCGCGGCCAGTAGTATCCGTGCAGCAAAATGGTGCGCTCCATGCTGCGTGGGCCGGCGTGCATTGCGCACAACCCTTCATGTATGTCACGCACCATGTCGCGTGCCTCTTCTTGTCCGATGCACTTTAGGTAGACACCCGAGAACGACCGCCGACACGAGAAGAGTTGTCTCGAAGTCGGTGGCGGTCGCTAGCTTTGATAGCGCGCCAGCGTGCACGTTTTCCTCTCTCGGTATTTGCACATAAGTTACCGCCTCGAAGGTGGCTGCTCGCAGCTTGACACGCTCCATGTAATGCGCTAGGGTGTCTTCCTTTCCGTCAAAGGCTCCGTTCAGTTGGTTGACTGCAAGCGAGGAGTCGGAAAGTACCCTTATTGTTCTAGCGCCCAAGTCGTGGGCGGCAGTCATTCCTGCCAGGATGGCCTCGTACTTGGCCGCGTTATTTGTCTTCAACGCTCTGAATCATATTGCTATCTCGTGAACGATGCTTGTGGGTGTGCGCACGACGACCCCCGCGCCAGCACCGTGTTTACTTGCCGCTCCGTCGACATAAACTTCCCATACCCCC